TCAGATTCGAGGTTTTACCTCCTTTTACAGCCAGATTTTTAACTGCTTTGCCTTGGGCATTTTTAATCTGCAGCTCTGCTCTAAAATAACGTATGTACCTGGGCCCGCCTACTATCCTTGGAAAGGTAAAATGATTGGCTAGAATCCAAAGTGTATGACATCTCAAGAAAAAAAAAAAAAGCACAGAAATAAAGCACCGAAATGTGCGCTGCTTTTCGGTCTTGTTACTACCGTTTATGTCAGAACCGGTGCCATAATGGCACTTGATACCGGTACCCATCCCTAGCTAAGAAAAGAAAACTTAAGCTACATTTCACATGGAATCACCAAAATTGTACATTACAAAATTTGAAAAATGTTGCCTGGTGTGCTTATTCTCAATTTGTGCTTCAACAGATGGCAGGACCAGGATTTTGCGTAAACAACATGAAAGCATGGATCTATCCTGTCTTGTATCAATGGTTCAGTTGGTTAGCTGAGGTAGAGGGAGGTCTGGGCTTCTCAGCTTAGGTTGCTAAGCTTTTGCTGCCTGGCCCTGGATAAGCAGTAGAAAATTAATGAATGAACTGTCAGTCTGTTAGTACCTGGTGATCATTAATTAAACACCACAGCCTACCTGAGTATTGTTGCATATCCATGTCCTCTCGTTTATGCCAATAGTATATCCATTGTATGACATGGTGCATTATTCTGGCTTCCAAAGGAATCACACATCATGTGACAAAACTCAGATCATCTCAAAATCTGGTTTCTTGAACATGACAATGAGTTCACTGTACTCAAATAGCCTGCACAGTCACCAGATCTCAATCCAACAGTACCTTTGGGATGTGGTGGAAAAAGACAATCACATCATGATGTGCAGGTGACAAATCGCCAGCAACTATGTCATGCTAACATGTCAATATGGACCAAAATCTCTGAGGAGTGTTTCCAGCACATTATTAAATCTATGCCATGAAGAAATAAGACAGTCCTGAAAGCAAAAGGGGGTCCAAAACAGGACTATAGCATGGTGTACATAATGAAGTGAATGAGTGTGTGTTAACATTGTTTATCCTTTGATGGTATATGTTATAAAATATAAAAATTTACTGGCACATCAGTACAAAGTGTGGCGGTATTTATATACCCTGCCTAGCAGCAGCTCTATCTCACTGTGTTGGAACACATTTTTCAATAACGGATATATAAATATATCATGCAGAGATTCAGTCACAGTTCATAATGTACAGTTTTGCATTTTTAAACCCATAATACAGTTATATTGTTTAGAAAACTTAATATACCTCTCCGTATGAAATTATTGTGAAATTCAGTTTTTAGCTTCTTCTTTTTTGTAATTCAGTTACACTCAAGTAGTAGTTTTCACTTTGTTTTTAATGAGCATATTTCAATATATATGATATATATATATATATCATGTGATTTGACCAGTCACATGTAAAATTATTTTGCATTATCAAGACTGTATAGTTTTCCTTCCAGGCTCAGATTAACTCAACAACTTGCAAGCATGTAAAATTTAGTCTAAAAATGGGGATAAAATCCAGCTTTTTTTCCTGATCTAACTTTCTGCAACTCAGTGTGCTAATATGCTCTTTGGTATGGATTGTAGAAATGAAATGGCATTACAGAACTCCTTAGATTTCATCAAAAAGGAAACGAGACAGAGGTAAACTCTGGGTTTCTTGAGTTCAGAAAGAGAACAGGAAACACACACTTTTCCTAAGCTTACCCTAAACCCCATTCCTGGAATAAAGTGCAGTTACTTAATTATGAGTTGTCACTGAATTCAAAAATTGTGTCAAAACAATAATGTAGTCAAGTTTGGTCCATGTACAGTAGTCTTTTGTTGTGGTGTGTTAGGTTTATCAAGTTAAAAATGCAATACAGGTGGTGGCCATAGACAGCGCTCTCACTTTTTCTCTTCCGTTTATTTATTTATTTATTTCTAACATATAGTTTTGCTTTTCGTTGAAGTCCTTGCCATTACTGGAACATGAAACAGCACCTGCAGCCTTTTTAGGTTGCACAGGCAGTCCAGGTTAGCACATCCATATGGTCTGTCACAAGATTTGTTTTGTTTCCAAGCATAGAGTGTGGAGGAAAAACCAGGAGATGGGCTATTAGAGGAGGGCTGGACAGAGCTGTAGACAGACATATACGTGCTTCTCGTGATGCATCAGTCAGATAAGGATAAGAAGAAAGTCAAAAACTGCAAAACCATTTCCTTTTTGGGGGCATCTTGTTTCACCTCTAGTGAACCTGTTCTCACTTTCATTTGCATCAATGAAGGTGATGTGGCTTCAAAATGGTCCATTTACCTGAAAACTGCAATATGCCTTGTTATACTGTGCTCACTTTCCCTTACTTTTGAGCAATAGCTATGGAAATGAATGGAGTTAGAATCTGAAATGAGTTAGAATCTGAAATGATTCTAACTCATAAGTAGACAGAGGATCCACAAGAGTCAACATTAATGCAGTTTTGCAACAGACTGAAATCAACATTTCACTCTTTTTTAACAGATATATTTGCAAAAGACCTGGAGGCTTTTGCAAGGTAAGTATTTTTTTTGTCCCAGCACCATATTAACAACTTAACCAAAAATACTTGGTTACTCAAACTGCAGCTATTCAAATATGTCCACATGGCTTCCAATCCCAAATTTCATTTCAGGCATGCTAAAAGAAGCATCGTGTCTGTAGATGATGTGAAACTTGTAGCCCGCCGCAGTACTGCTTTGGTGAGTTATTCAAAGAAACAACACATTCAGTGACAAATGATTTCTGTACAGTTAACTTACAGTACAACAAACATCTAGTTATGCCAATGTTAACCACTAAAATAATTTCAAATAATTGTTTACTGAACCTGTGTATTGCGTATATAATCTACAGCAGACAGCAAATTTAATGTTTAATTTGCCTTTATTTATTTCAGTCCATCCACATACAAAATAAAAGTGACGAACTGACCCAGGAGCACATGAGTTTAAAAAAGAAGACTACTGCAAAGAGAAAGAACACAGAAACTTAGGAGGAAAGCAGAGAATAAGGACAGGACACAGGCAAGCCTGCGGTATCTGACTTGAGCCCAATCAATCAAATAAACATGAAGACTGACTTACATGTATCTGATGGGCTGAGAGCCAACAAAAGTCCTAGTTCTTTCATGGGACATGTGCCTGTCAAAACAGTTATGTAGCCAAGATTTGGAGCCAATAAGTGAAAAGTTCCATCCCAGGATCTGCTAATGTGATGTTGAATTTTAGTGCATGTAACAATTTTGACCTGATTTGTTACCATGTATGAATGAAACATTAAACTTGATTTTTAAAGCATTCGCCAAAGGGACCCTACAGAAACTGCATCTTGTGTTTTACTTGGGACTGTAAAGTTCCCTTCATGTTTTGCAGTGAGACTCTTAAAACAAATCCCCAATTCCAAGGCACAGAAACCTGACATTAGCTCTAGTATAATAGCCAATTTGGGAGAGAGAATATTGCTGAAGGAAAGCAAAGCCACATTGCTGAGCTGGACTGTTTAACCTTCCCAGTACCTTATAAGTAGTTGTGGATAATAAAAAAGGGGATCATTCACGAACAAGCCATCAAAAGCAGCAAAAAGACAGGTACTACCCCATGTCTGAGAAGGCCACACACTGAAAGTGTTGGAACTTCCATCTTCTTCCTTCAGAACAGACTTCAGTCAGGGTTCAAACGGAGACCTCGACCAGCAGAGCCCAAAGTCCCTAGATGTGTGAATCGAATTAGATGGTTTTTGATTTGACAAACTTGACTCAAGTAATATCAACTAAGCATCTATTCAAATGAACTTTATTAGAGAACTCCCTTCATTTGACATGTTTATAAACACCTCACAAACAAAATCTACTGGGAACCATTGGACACACCATTCCACGTTCGCACACCATCACTCGCGTCCCCCAGTGTCTTCAGCAGGTGTCATCCACATCAAGTACACACTTACAGATCAGTTCATTAACATGAAAGCACACACCATACGGCATTCAAATCAGATAATATAAGCAATACAAATATTCATCACAACATTCCACTACATTTCGATATTTCTGCACTTGACAGACATACTTAAGAATAAGGAAAAACTTGCAAAGATTAAAAAAAAAAAATCTTGAAGTATTAATTAAACAATGTCCATGTTAGGGGAGGCGCTCGTAGCATCTGCAGCTTCCACTCACACACTCAGAAAGCAGTCAACTTGGGCTCTTTCACTGCACAACCAGTCCGTTTCACGCGTCTCTCTCCGTTCGCTCACTCATCGCTTCACTCTTCGCCACAAGCCATCCTCAATCGCACTCATCAGTTCTTAAAATGTCAGTTGCGCTGTTCTTTCCATGTAAAAGTGGATAAAAGTGAAAACACCCACCGTCTCTTAGAACATGCGGAGTGAAGCCGTTCTTTGATGGCATAGCATTTACAGGTGGGAAGAGGGAGAATGATACCGATATCACCCCAAGAATGCTGCCAAAGAGGAGCTTCCTCGCGGGGAAATGGAAGAGAGGTGAACTGCAGAAGAGATTTCAATGAAGGCTTTTCCATAGAACTTGACTGCAAATAAAGTTGCACTTAAAACATTTATGTTTCAACCAGATTCTTCCCAATGCAAGATTGCCTTTTAGGTCGATGACAATGCCGGATAATGGTGAACCACGAACATTCATGCATTTTCAAAAATGGTTATCACATTTCACAATACATGCATTAGAGAATCCAGTTGAAATGGATACAAACAAATGAGACATCAAAAATAGCACTTTTCTCAGACATCCTGGTAAACAATTCACTTCAACACTTCCTAAATTAAATCTTTAGCATTTTTTTCCAAATGTACAAAACATCTTCACGCAAAAGTGTTAAGTTTTCAGATACGCATCAACACCAGAAATAAATTTCGAAATGACTCGTCTTTCTCGCAGTACTTACCATACAAACACTTAACTTACATACCCCACCCAGATGACTTTGACTCCATGCTGGACCCAAAACCTGAGCTAAACCCACTACCACTGGTTGTAGAGTTTGACCCTGTTCCCCAGCCAAGACTGGCTGAGCTGGTGCCGTAGTTACTGTTGCCTGTACTGAAAGACTGACTCTGGTCTCTACTAGAGCTCGTTCCACTGGAGGTGCTGCCTGAGGTGGATGTCTGCTGCTGGCTAGCCAGCATACCCATCATACCCCAACTACTTTGCAGAGCAGCCTGTGCAGCAGCCATCATGGCAGGGTTCAAGCTGAAGGAACCAAAATTAGCCAGACTACTGTTAGTGCTGCTCCCTAACCCACTACGGCTGCTACCAAATGCTTGAGCCCCAAAACCATTTCCGAATCGTGCTGTGCGATCAAACTGCCTATTGCCATGTTTGGGCTCAGCATTTGAGATGTGAACACTGACTCCTTTGATAATAAGGTCTTCTCCACAGAGAGACTGGGCAACCTGTGAAGGGAGGAAAAAAATTAGATTATGTGGACGCAAGCAACACCAACAAAGAAGGAAAGAAATACCTTCTACACATTTCATACGTTACCTGATCATCTGCAAATGTAACAAAGGCAAAAGCACGGAATGGCTTGGGAATGAACACATCTGTGACTTCTCCATACTGCATAAAGAACTGTCGTAGATCATCTGTGGTCATGTCTTCCGTGCAACGGCCTACAAACACTTTGCGGCTTCTTAATGGCTCATCGGGACCTTGCTGTAAAGAGGAAAGGAGGGTGCATTAGCATTACAGATTGTTAACCACAGTATTGGATTAGTTTTGATTCCCATAGTGTGTGGGTATATGCATGGGCATTACCATATTCACCTTCGAGTTAGGGAGCTTGCAGTCGCACCACCTCCCATCGATCATATGGCGCTGAGAGATCACCTTTTCCTGAGCTTCATACTCTGTGAACCTCACAAAGCCAAATCCTTTAGAGTTTCCGGTCTTGGCATCCCGTTTCACCTATGAAAGAAGAAAAAATAAATAAATCACCAGCAAAAATAAGAAAATAAAACATAAATAAAAATTGCAAATCAATGCAAATGTTTTACTATCCAAGTAATACCTGAACCATGATGACTTCTCCAAACGTGCTAAAGTAGTCTTTAAGGTCCTGTTCGGTCGTTTTCCAAGGAAGACCCAATACAATCAGGTCCGATGTTTTCATGTCTCCCCTCTTCATTTTCACAGCAGAAGAGGCATCGATTTCATCCATTTTTCTTTTATTGTCTAAACGGAAAGATGGGGGAAAAAAGTTCATATTTTAAAAGCTATACAACAAAAATGCAACATAAAATTCTTATATAGTTAGTTTATGCATTTTCCTCTTCCCTTGACATTTAATAAAACAAATTGCACACCACTTGAACAATAATAATGATGAATTAAAATCAGTTCTGGTGATTTTCCTTTGGTGAAAAACCAGTCAGCTCTTAATTAAATCTTAATCTTAATTAAAAAGTTCCTTAATGGAATCGGGCGAAACAAAAACACCACCAAATGGTAAGGTTAAAATAATCATGCCCTTCAAAACAAAGTCCAGCAATATAGGTACTTTGTTTGGCAGAAGGACTTTAAGGAACAAAATCAATCATGTGGTGCTCTTTTTAATGAATGGATTTAGTGCCCGAACTCTGGTGGGCGTGACCAAATCACTTGTCACGTCACTTATCTATTTTCAGTAACCTGAGGCTACTTCATGAATTATAAATAACATCTGCCCACCTGTTCGGATAAAGTCTCTAGGTTTAAATAAGAACAAGGAAAACACCAATCCTTACCTTTTGGATAGTTCACCACGTACACGACATTCCCCCATCCGTTTTCTGGCGCGTGCAGGACCCCTTCCACGAGTCGCACTCCTCTCATGCACTGAGACACGGGGCTCCTGAACCGCAGGCCGCAAGCCCCAGGAAACTGAGCCGCCACGGTGGAAAGAAGAACAGTGCCGTCGTCTTCGGAGGGAATCTCCATGGGCTCCTCATTTTCTTCCTCCGCCACTCGAATGTACACCTCAGCCATTTCCCAGCAAAAATAAAACTTACTCGCAGAAGCAAAACAATGCTAGCGGTTAGCTCGCTAATTGTCCACAGAATCGGCTAACCTTAGCCGATGACGCTAACAGGACTGAATGAGTCAGGCTAAACTGTTTATTATACTTGAGACAAAGACTTCTCAAATACAAAAAACTAAAACGGCGTCTAGGCTAGTTTATTTCCAAATGATTTAATCAATAATGCTACTTTTAGATTGCGCTAAAAAGCGGGCAACGATCTTACTGCTCCTTTGTTTGCTGGGACGGGGATCTGTGCCGTCAACACCGGACGACGACCGCTCTAACGTGCCTGTTGAAAAGAAAACTGCGCAAATTCCGCCAGCTAAACAAAAGGATGTAACGTTTTCCTAAAAATAGTTTGCTCGGCCCAGAGGAGTAGTGCAACTTAAATAAAGCGCTTGTCTCGTCCAACATGCAAAGTCAGGAAAGCTCAGACGAGTATTTTTCCACGAGGCGAAAAATAATAGCGCCATGTAAGGCGAGCAAAATGGCATTATCTAAGCGAAGAAGGAACTACGTCATTAAACTGGAAGGTTTCATTTCACCCGGGCAGGCGGGGGGCCGTTTCCTGTCTGTGTCAGTAAAAGTAAGTAGCAGTTGTAAGTAAGTACGTACGTAATGCATTCTAAGGCTAATATTTTATGTTGTACTTTACTGGTTTATACTGATTAAATGCAGTATAAACAATTAAACTTAACAGTTAATTGTGAATTTTGTCCCCCCCCCCCACGTAAACCTAGTAGATACGGCCTAGTGTGTGTCATTTACAACAACAGCTTCCGTTTGTTGGCTGGAGATTGGAAGATGGCGGTTTGAATGAGCTATACAAACTTTGAAAGCCAGACAGCTAATAAGAAGTTAGGATCACAAGTATTTACCTACATTTTTAAATTGTAGGTAAATGCGTCCCCGCCTTTCAAATTTCAAAAGGCTGGAGCGTGTCTAAAGCATAGCTGTCATGTCCATGTTAATGTAAAATGCATTATTGCGTCGGTTTGGGGTGAACTTAAAAGAATCCAGTTATGATGAAGAGACTGGCTTTTTCAATATTAAATCATTTTCAGATAATTGGTCTTTTTGCATGGCTTGTCCCCCTAATAGGATGTTGTTCAATTGAACAGTGAAACTTTATAGCTTCATGTGCATAAAGCAGTTTTACAAACCAATTTTAGAAGTTTGGGGATCAACATTGACTGACTACAGACAAGAGGTAAAGCAAGGGAAGCTGGTGCAGGGATAATAAAGATGATGATCATTGGTTTCGGCAGGAAAGGTAACTCCCCTCCTCCTCTGCACTTCATCTGTGGGAGTGGCCTCCACTTTCAGGTACCTTGGTGTATCTCATTGAGAACTTTACCTGGAGCCATAGCACTTGCTACCTACTTACGAAGGGACACCAATTCTTTCTCATGAACCTGAGGCATGGTGGTACTCTGGTGAGGACGGTGAAAGCCCCACCAGCACAGACATCTACACCAGCAGAAGCAGGGCCATCTTCTTGGTTTTTAACCAGGGTGCAAGTGAAAAATTTCACTTCAAGTCATATGAAAATGACTTTGAAATCCTTGGAAGGAAAAAAAAAAGTACCATATAAAATTATGTTGCTGAAATCTGACAATAAAGAGTAATAATACAAGCACTGTTACACAATTTTTAAAAAACTCAAAAAAAAAAAAAAATTCTACATCCACATGCATCACAATTCCTTCTGCATAGGTCAGAAAAACAAATCCGGTCTCTCTTTAGTGAACACAATACAGTTACTGCATACAAGTTAGTTTTTTTTAAGGCTCCCTCCAAAAACTCAAAGCTGCACAAAGCAGTGAATTGTTTAAATGGCACATCAGAAGATTCTGACAGAACCCTCACAAATACACAACAAAGCAAGATCTCAAACAGCTTTTTATTACATTTTCCAATCAATAACAGTACAATTTAGTACAGTATCTATCTTGCATCCAGCTCACCGTGGAACACCAACAGACCGAAATGAAATACAAAAAGTGAATAGGTACATAAGGGTGCAGAGCTCTATAATATTAATGGAAAGAGAAAAGGAAATCCACCTCAGTTGAATTGCATTTTCACTTGTGGCCATACACGAATACATCACATTTATTGTACATCATCGCAGAAAGGAAAAAAAAAAAAAGAAAAAGAAAAAAAGTGAAAATATGTCACAACTTTAACAAAAGTGCTTCTGTATACAGTGAAAATGTTGTCATTCAGATGTTCTGATTTTCAATTTAAGACCAATGGAGGGGGGGGGATGTACAAAAAGTTTTAGTATGGACAGTGTGTGAGGACATTTCTGTTCCATTGTGTGTGTGAAGATTTGAAGAAGAGAGGACTTTTCAAGGATAGATTTCTCACAATGATTGTTATAATTATTACAAAATTGGCATCAATAGAACTGGTAAGCATAATTTACATTAAGTATGCAGTCAATAATAAGTCTGTTTCCATTCTTGCTCACTCTGGTGCATAGCGTTACCAGTATTAGTACATGATGTATGTATGCAGAGTTTGAGCCAAAAATAAATTGGCCTCTATTAAGTTCAATCAACAGGTTACTCTCCTTTTTGGAAACAAAAGAAAAATCTAGGAATTTTGCACCATTGAAAGCAAGTCTACAGCATGCACATCTAAATTAACTCATGGCAGACAAAATTAAATGTCTTAACTTAAAACAGACCATTATTTTCAGACATTGATTTTGTACATTTCATTCACAGAGTTGCAACTGCAGTCCCAAGCAAAGGAAGTGTCTATTAAGTCAGGTGAGGTGTTTCACTCAAAGTGGATACGAAACACAAATCCCCTTTCATATAGTAAAATCGAGCCATGCCTCAGTTACCTCAGCACCCTAAACCAAACCCTTCCCACCAAAAGTCAAAGGCATGTACAAGAATTAAGGGGCTTAACTGGATAATTTACTGGTAATAACTCTTTCTGTACTGGAATGAGCATTCATAACTTATAGCATGTGCTTGGTTAGTTAACACAGTATTAGTTGAGAGGCAAAGCTTCATGTGCAAAAGGCTGTGATGAAACAAAAACAGCTAGTATATAAATACATCATGGACATTTTGAAAGCTGCTCGTGTAATATGATCCAAGCTTTTTACTTCTGCATGTTTTTCTCATCTGTCTTATATGATTCACCTGGATTAGAAAGACAAGCTGTAATTCAAACATATCTAAAACCACTAAAGAAATATGACCAAAAAAAAAAAA